GTCTCCATTGTAGCGACGCGGGACGGACCAATGGGAGAACAGGAAGAACAGAACCAGGATATATAAACCCCCTGTTTTCCTTATACGGACTGACCAGACTCTGACCAGTGTTGCGAGTTTCAGCCTTCATTAAAGAAAATCATTTTGTCTCATTCTCTTCCTCACTATACCATGGGGCCGAAACCTACAGTGGCGTCGGATTAGGACGCAGACATATTGGACCACCTGGCCTCAGCCAATCCCGTGTCTCTCTGTGTTCTAATAGCACGCGAGGAAGATAAGCAGCCAACCAGAGATAGACACGAATGAGGTGCAGTATATAATGGGCGTCGTGGCCAGCGTTGTGGACTCGGATGGAAGGCGCCTGACTTGTGGTTCTGGTTTGTGATTGGTCAACAATGCCCGTTCTGCTCTACCAGTCTTATTCCCATTAGGGTTAGGGAATTTTACACAAGTATACGATGAGCAGTCAATCTAAGCGCTGATCTGATCTAACACACAACCTACAACATTCAACCGGCTTCTTCAATATTTCGTTGCTGCTTAAGGCCCTCTGAAGTAAAGAAATAAATCATTCAGAGAGAAATTCTCATTTTCTTAAGCTTTTAGTTTTGTCTATATACAGAATCAGCGTACAATTGACAACTTAACCAATTTAGCCACCACAAAACGGAAATTCAAGGAAATAACAGGATTTATCTTAATAAACCACTGGCAGGCCGAAATTCAATACCACTGTAAGCCCAATATCTTGACCAATGATCAGCCAGTCAAAACTTGCAAGCTGCGTGTTCTTCAGTTAGACATGATTCGGACAAAGGCTTGTTTGAGCTCATGTTACGAAATTCTATAGTCCACTTATTAAGTCGTAATTGCCTCTCTGGATTTAATTTAAATTCGCTGATAAGCTTAAGCGATAGTAATACTTTGAAGTAACGACATCTTACCTAACCGATTTATGTAACGTAATTTACCAGAATTAACTAAATACGGTCTTATAACCAAATTCCCAGCAAAAACATGTGATTTAAATAACTAAGGTTTTGCGGCACACTTTTGTCTGCTTTAAATAATTTAAAACTATTTCGATTAGCGAAATAAAGTTCCTACAATTCAAATGTTATTATTCTATTGGTAGTCAGAGTTCTCTTTGCGCTATATTTCATTGATAACTTCTTCGTGGCAATGAAGACAAAAATTGAAGCAAGATAGACTTTGACACTATTAGTGGAATTAAAGTTGCTACTAACAGCTAGATTAACTTCGACGGATGAAAAGGCTAGGATATTCATTATTTCTCACAATCTGAGTCAAGCAATCAGATTTGATTTTCTATTAAAAAAGATTAGTTTTGACATCTCCGATAATTATTTCATTGATGCATATACTCAGCGTTTGCTCTGATTAACTATTCATTTCGGTCGGAGCATAAAGCATCGTTAAGGCCCGGTTTCGAAATCGGGTTCCGGATTTGGGAAAATTTGTTGAGATCTTGATACGCTACCCATACTCCTGGGGGTAAAAAGGCTCAGATGAGAGCATTTGAAATTATATTGACAGCATTTCATGCGGAATCACAGAGCGCCAACATCGCTTTTGTAGAAACCATAAGCTTTGAAAATAACATTCGTGTTTATTTTTATTCGACAAGGTGTATCGCAATCATAAACTTTCAGCCTATGGCTCCGTACTGTGGTCGACATTTAATGGTGAAATACATTCAACCTCCTTCGAAATGATATAATTAAATTAAACTAAAAATCAGTGCCATTCGTGAAATTCTAGTTATCTAACTTAGAGTCAAACATTTGCAGTGGGTCTTGAGTGTCTACCAATTGCTCACGGTGTGATCGTATAGTGTACATGAGTTAGAAACAGAATACTTTCATCCATTTAATCGAGCATTAATCTGTACCTAATTTTATTAATCTAAAATAGTATAGCTTATAAGTTTATTCCAAACCCCGCTTCTGACATTGCTAAAAGGCAATGCGAAAGTCAATATCTAAATACTATTTTTGGGTATGATATAAACCAAGCTGTAGGCTCAATATTTTGAAAACTGTCAGGTCCCGAAGTCCGATTGCCACAGAAAACCATCCTAAACACTTAAATGCCCTAGAAACAAGGTCCAACGGTGTTAGCATCTGCGTTTAGAATCACAGCCAAACTCTTTGAATTTTGTTACTGGGTTGACTGTTTTGACTGTCGAAAAATCAGTAGCAGAAGACTGAATTGTACTAAAGGTCTTTATCCATAGATTTTCTTCAGGGTGATCGTAAGACAGAAATTGAATCAAAGCTAAAAAAAGATTTATCACGGTGACATTAATGAGTACTGCAAGCACTGTGGCATTGCCTGCACCATCTTTAACATTTGATATTTATTAACTTTTAAATTAAACTCGTAAGAAATAGCAAACGAGTTGTTAACTTCTAAGATCATTTCTCTGGGCGTCTACACAATTAACGTACACCGAAAAATATAAGACTACTTTCTGAAAGTTAATTTTTTCTCAATATTGTGGTTCATATCACCAGCTAAATAAGAACTTGCGTAGGCGATAATTTTCAGCCAGAATTGATCGCTATTGTCTTGCTTTCGAATTTATATAGACATACAACACGTTTACGGGTTTCAACTAAAGCACCAGTTTCAAATTATTGAACAGTATCCACAAAATGAATACTGGTTACATAGGAATATGAGATGAATTTTACACAGCCAATTTAATTATAGACTTAACGATACATTAATCACTGTATCTCAGTGGTTACAATAAGTGCTGTAAAAACATGATCTGTTTGTATTTCCATATCAAAAGGTGAAGTATTACTGATGTAGCACAAGCAATTAAGCAATATAGTACGACTAAAATGTTTTGTGAATTTATGAGGATCTGAGGGTCTATCCCAGACTTCAAAATTAATAATACTTTATGAACAATTATAATTAAAAACGTTTTGACTAATGTCACAATAAATATTATTATAAAGAATAAGTTTAACACAATGTTATCCTTTTGTTTGTTTGTTTATTTGATTCAAGTTGATTATAAATTGTAGGGCAAGGACACTTGGGTACATTTGAGTTTACTGCTCCTATGAATGGGTTCTCGTACTGAAATGAAGAAGCTTGGTGATCTCGAAGATGATTCCTCCTCTTTCTCTAAATCATCGTTTAAAGATGATAATTTATCAATTGACGAGGAAACGTAGGCATTTCCTCTTTACTTATCTATGTATAGATTGATCGATGATGAAATCCCGAACCTTTCTTACTGCGGACTTGTAAGATTCTAATTTAATTTACTGACCTACGTTGTAGTTTCGTTTTGCAACACGACTTGAAGTTCTCCTGTTTGCTATTGGGATCGTAGCCAGCGCTGGCCTTGGGGCATTGTTTCCTTTGAGCATGGCATTGTTTGCTGAAATGGTGGATAAATTAATCAGAAACTTCTTCAAAGCGGCTGATTTAATTGAGGAACAAATTCCGCTGTTTGTATATCTCGCTGTTTCTTCTCTTATACTGGGCTTTGTGCAAATGTATTGCTTAACTCTCTCTTCGAAGCGGCAAGCCAGGCGCATCCGAATACTTTTCTTTGATGTGAGTACTAGCTGAAATCCTGTAATGATTTTAACTATGTGCAATAGCGTTCCATCTAACAAATGCATTTGAAACTGTGTACTGAATTTTCGATTGTAAATTGCATTTTATTACTTTTTAGCCCGTAAAAAGTGTTTCTTTAACTTTCATAGAGCCTAATTCGCCAAGATGCAAGCTGGATGGATTCCAGAGCGTCTGGTTCTCTGATCAGTTTGCTCTCAAGTAGCATACCCCTAATTCAAGGCGGAATGGGAAATCGTGTCGGCAGCTTCGTCCGAGACGTTGTCCTTTTCGTCGGCTGCATTATCATGGCCTTTGTAAAGGGCTGGAAACTCGCACTTGTAGCTTCTGCTTCTCTTCCCCTTATCGGGATCTCATTTGCTTTCCTTGGATTTTCCCTGAAGTACTTCAATAATAAGGAAATTCAGGCCTACAGTCGAGCCGGTGGCATTGCTGGCGAGGTGCTTCATTCTATACGAACTGTTTTTGCCTATGGAGGGCAAGAGACAACATATAAACGTTATTCCAGTGAGCTTTATAAGGCTGAACATACGGGCATACGAAAAGGCATGGCCATTGGCGCAGGTACAGAGTTTTTTGCTCTACTTTGACGCTTAATTATCCAACAGCGGTTGCCAGTTGTCCTTGCTAACTCATTAAAGTTGTTGCCACGGTAAAGTATTACTAATACAAAACATCCACCTTACATGTTTAGCAAGGTGAGGGCTTGACAGCTGTCGTAAGCACTTCAAGTTATCAGCCGATCAAATCACCATCTTTTTGTATTGAGTTAACCAATTCACCACTCTGTGCAGAATTCCTGGTTGGTGCTCTGTAGAATGAGTCAAAATGTTAGCAACATGTTTGCTTCGATGATTTAAGAGTCTGCTAATTTACCGAGTACCACAATGGTAGCCTTGAGTTAATCTAATAAAAGACTCATAAACACCTCAATTTCTTTTAAACAGGAAATGGTTTCGTTAGCCTTTCGATTTTCTCGGCCGCGGCTCTTTCGTTATGGTACGGAATCACCTTGGTTCGCACTGAAAAATTCAGTAACGGAACCGTAATCTTGGTAAGGAAGCCATTTTGACGGATTTCCGTACATATATTCCAAACTTCTAACTGCGCTTTTGTTTAATAGGTTGTTGTAAGCATAATCATTTCCAGCATCGCAATTGGTAAAGCTCTGCCTGAAATCGAAGCGATTGCAAGGGCAGTTACCTCAGCGAAAAAGGTGTATGCCATCATCAATCGTATTCCATCAATAGATATTGATGAAGTGGGCTACGCACCATCAACTTTGATTGGAAAAATAGAATTCAGAAATGTCTGCTTTACCTATCCAAGTCGACCCGACGTACCCGTAAGCAACCCTCACTCTTTAGTCCGTAGCTCCTATGTTATTCAAAATATTTTAACTCTTAAAGCACTTATTTGTAGATTTTGAAGAACTTTAACTTGACGATTCAGCCTGGTGAGAAAGTTGCAATAGTGGGATTCAGTGGTTCCGGAAAAAGCACTGCAATTCACCTTCTCCAGCGTCTTTATGACCCTCAGACCGGTGAAGTTCAAATTGACGGAACTAATATTCGCGATCTCGACCTTAACTGGCTTCGCAGTCAGCTGGGGACAGTTTCTCAAGAGGCCACCCTATTTACTGGCACGATTTCAGATAACATCCGCCTTGGTAGACTTAACGCAACCGACCGAGAGATCGAAGAAGCTGCCGGCTTGGCTGGTGCGGACGAATTTATTACTAGGATGCCTGACGTATGTTCAACTGTATTTTCAGCATTGTGTCCTTGTCGTTTTGGCGCCAATTTCTTTCCAACCTGTCTGATTGCTGTAGGATGGTTGTAGGTAGAAAGTTGTGAGCATTCACAATATGGCGTAACAGAAGAACCGTAATGAACCTATAATCTGTTTGTTATAGGGAACGAGGTCGTGAAATGGAGATCTGTTTGCCTGTAAAAGTTCTATCATCGGGTCATCAACCTTGTTGACCTGTTGATTTTTTAATGTAGCAAAAAGAGCTCATTTTTGAACTTGATATTGCTTGAAATCCACTTTACACTTCTCTTATGCAGAATAGGGAATGAGACAGTGATTTTCCTATGGTCGTACATTCACTACAGTACATGACCGACTAGACGATTTCACAGGTGTGTCGCTTACTTTTCAGTTTCTCTGCCTCCTTTAGGGGTATAACACGTGGTTAAGTGAGGGCGGTGCAAAGCTTTCGGGGGGCCAAAGGCAGAGACTTGCCATCGCAAGAGCCCTAATTCGTTATCCCAAAATTCTTCTTCTTGATGAAGCCACGTCAGCCTTGGACACACGCACTGAAAAGGCCGTGCAGCGAGCCCTGGATCGGGCATGCGTCGGTCGTACAGTCATCATGGTGGCTCATCGTCTCACGACAATTCGTGATGCTGACAAGATTATTGTCATGAAAGAAGGTGAAATTATGGAACAGGGAAGTCATGACGAGTTAAGGGCAAAGCAAGGACAATACTATCGCATGCTCCAGGCACAAGTGAGTCCATTCTATCACCATAAACTTTTGTCTAAGCGGTTGCCTGCATTCATTTTATCATTTTAAGTTTTCATTCCGATATACTCTGGAGAGATGATTTTTGAGAAAAGTAATTCCCGGCATCTGATGTCCCCCCAAAAATTGAAGGCTTTTACTGTCATATTCACAGTAGCATATGACGTGATTTTTTTATTTCAAAAGGGTCTACTAAAGGAAG